TTGTAGTGTATTGAATTGTTTTTTTTTCTTCTGTATTTTGTTGCAGCAAAAAGCACATAAATTAACGATTTTTAAAAAAAAGTTTTTTTAGTTTAATTGTACACAAATGAACACTACATAAGCTTTACTTGCTGTTCTGACAGGAAATTTTGTTAGTATCGAATATTATTAGTGTTATTTACTGAACTTTTGAACAATTTTAAGACTGAAGTTCATTTCAAGATCATTTTCAGTCCATCTGATCATTCATTCATTCATTTTCCTTTGGCTTACTCCCTTATTTATCAGGGGTTGCCACAGGGGAATGAACCGCCAACTACAGCATATGTTTTACACATTGAATTTACCTTCCAGCTGAAACCCAATGCTTGGAGACATTTTCATTCAAACACATACACTTTTGACAATTTAGTTTATTCAATTCACCTATAGCGCATGTGTTTGGACTGTAGGGGAAACCGGAGCACCTGGAGGAAACCCTCGCCAACACAGGGAGAACATGCAAACTCCAACTGCACTGAAAAAAATTATTCAAAGATGATATCTTGGATTTACCCTTTTTTTTTTTTTTTTTTACGTTAAGTGGTTGTAAACAATTTATTTGGGCTGAATTTAAACCAACAAATTAAGTCGAACATTATTAAATTTAATTTGTTTGTTTAAATTCAACACAAATAAATAGTTTGCAACAGTTCCGCAACACTTTTTTCAGTGTGACCTAGTCTCAAAAATAATACATTTATTAAATAAAATTCATACGTGCACAGCACAATTACATTTACAAAATCCAACTTGTAAATTCAAAACACAATTCATAAATACAACACTCAGTTAGCGAATTCACAAGTGAAAACCAAAAGAACTTTCATCAAATCAATTGGATTTGTGTATTAATGAATCGTTTTGAAATTACTAATTAGATTTGTGTGCATTTTTAAATAGCAATTTGAAATGACGAATTGTATTTGTGGATTTTTACAGTTTTTCTTGTTTGCTTTGATGCACTCGTCAACTGAAACTCCACATTTTCAAAACAGTTAACACACAGGCCTAAACAGCGGCACTCATGGTCAAAATGACACATTTTACACGTAAAACGCACATACCATGTCAAAACATTTAAAATATGCAACAAAAGCTAGTTTTACCTTTACACAACACAACTTGCTAACAAGTATATGAGCTCTTTCAGGCAATCATTACACAACGGACAACAAAATACAAAATACAGAATTCCATTGCTTGCCATTGTAGCCTATTGCCAATGCCATTTGTTGTCTTTCTATTTGGGCTGTCAAATTTACCTTTTTGCAAAGAATTGAATCCAGAAAAAGAAATGCTTTAAATTCAGGACATTTTCAAACTGTGGCAAAAACAGACAAAAGAAATAAAATACTGTAAATATTAGAGAAAACACATGTAAACCAATATACAGTCAAATCTACTGGCAGAATAGGACATAGCCTTTATGGACCTCCTCCATCCATGCTGGCACAGAACACAGACCTTCCACCGTTTTTACAGTTTTTCTTGTTTGCTTGACCTGGTTAAAGAAACGGTTCCACTTCATTTTCATGATCACTATCCCAGAAGAGCAGACGACAGGTCTTGCAATCCAAACCTCATTGTTTTAGCTATGGTAACCAAACAGAAATAATCTATTCCAACCCTTATAATCTACCAAGATCAGTTTGAATTCACTGAAGCACCGGTTTGACACTCCTTCACACAAATCTTCAATCAGCAATCAGTCTGCAAACATTAAAAACGGTGGAAGGTCTGTGTTCTGTGCCAGCATTGATGGAGGAGGCCAATAGTGGCTATGTCCTATACTGCCAGTAGATTTGACTGTATATTGGTATATACATGTGTTTCTCTAATATTTACAGCATTTTATTTCTTTTGTCTGTTTTTTTATTTTATTATTATTATTATTATTATTTTTTTTTACAGTATTTCAGTTTCCAGCCACAGTTTAAAAAATGTCTTGAATTCAATTAAAATTTCATCAAAGTATTTCTTATTCTGGATCCAAGGCTTTGCAAAAAAAAAAAAAGAGGTGGGTGGGGGGGACAAATTTTATTTGTCTTTTTTTAGAAGCGCTTTGAATTAACAAATTGGATTTGTGTATTTTTGAATCCTGTTTAAAATTTACGAATTGGATTTGTGTATTTCAAGAGTTCACACTTGAATATTGCTTGATAATAATAGCATAATTGGCATGCTGTCCCGGGAGAGAACCCTGAGCTTGGAGATAATAGAGCCCAGGGCTCCCACCTGGTCAATGAGCAAGTGAGGGGGTAAAGGAGGAAAGCAGGAGATGGGTCCCTGCTGAAAAAAACAGTATATGCTGGTAAGGTATGTTTTGATGCTGGTATGTTGGTCTTGCTTGTTTCAATGCTGGTTTTGCTGGTCTCAATGCTGGTCTTGCTTGTTTCAATGCTGGTTTTGCTGGTCTCAATGGTGGTTTTGCTGGTCTCAATGCTGGTTTTGCTGGTCTCAATGCTGGTCAGGAGCAGCACTGAGACCAACAAAACCAGTAAGACCTGCAATTGAGACCAGCAAAACCAGCATTGAGACCAGCAAGACCAGCATACCAGCAACAAAACATACCTTACCGGCATATGCTGTATTTTCAGCAGGGGTGGATGGGGGGATTCTTCAAAAAAACAAAGATGAGTGAGTAATGTTAGTCGGGCTATTTATAGCAAGTTTGGAATGATCCGATTGGCTTACTAATGATTACAGATGAGAGACCTGCTGCAATGAATTATATCATGTGCTTCCCTCAAAATTAGCTTGTAAAACTTCACTTCTGAGCCCTGTTTTGAATTTTTGAATTAGATTTTTGTATTTTTAAATAGCGTTTTGTATTTATAAATTAGATTTGTGTATTTTTGAATCATGTTTTGTATTTATAAATTGGATTTGTGTATTTTTAAATAGCTTTTTGAATTTACGAATTGGATTTGTGGATTGGGCGACGAATTGCGTTTTGAACTTACAAATTTTTATTTTGTAAATGTGAATTGTGTTGTGAATGTATGAGTTATACCAGCCTGATCTCACGAGAAAACGTAAGTATTTTACATTTTGCCAGTTTAGTGGCTAATTCGTACGAATTCGTACGAGTTCAGTCGTACGAAATGGTACGATTTTAAAAAGGAGGGGTGGCACCTGACCCCACCCCTAACCCCAACCGTCATTGGGGGATGAGCAAATCGTACTAAATTGTACAAATTAGATCGAACGAATTCATACGAATTAGCCACTAAATGAAAAAGTTACGAATTGTCGTGACATTGTGTTGCAAT